TATGAAGCAATATCTATTGAGGTGGCCTCGCTGAAGGTAGCAACTTTGTTTTTCATGGTAGGGCATTAATCTTATCCTTGAGAAGCCCTCCTGCTCAAAGATATCCGGAAATGAACGCATGTTTCAAGTAATTAGATTTAAAGACCCTCTCAAGTCTACCGGGGCGCTTCGGTTGCGATTACGAGTAAGCTTTAACGTGGTATCGCATGAACATGATCAAAAGGCCCTCTTTGTCGAGGATATTATTGACTTTCATTCGCCCCTTTGATATTAAATTTTGTATTTTTAAATCATTTTGTTGTCCATACAACATGTGGAACCCCGACGGACCGAATAAATACAACCCAAAGTGCGTTTAAAATTTAAAACAGGTGACAATTTATTCTTCGCCAACTTTGGGAGCCAAGTAATAACGGAGGTATCCATGCTGACCAATTTTGAATTCAATCGAAACAGGCTGTTCTTCGCAAATTCCAATAATAACGCGGTCAGAAAGAGGGCATGCCTTGGAGATGATGGAAAGAAACTTTAACGAAAGCGTTGTAAATGCGTTTTTTGATACAGAAAGATTGACGGCCTCTTTATCCTTGTCAACGGTGTCTCTGGGTTTAAGAGAAATCGAGCCGGATCCGATTTCGCCTTTGGCCTCAAACTTTATATGCTCCGAGCTGACTGAAATATTTACTAGAGGGCGGGGGCATTACGTGTGTGTCAAACATACCTGATTCGCTCAGCGAATAAAGGTCTCTAACAATTCTCTGGAACTCGTTCGAATTCATCCCAATCATGGCATCGTAGGGTTGCTCTGGAATGCCCAAATGCTCGGTATCCAACGCCATCAGTTTGAGGTCATATTCACACGTACGGTCTTCGTCTATACAAATAAAAGCATGCGCAATGATTACTTGGAGATTCGAACATCAGGCTTAATGAGTCGCCAGAGTCTTTGGCCCTGAGCGTGATGGAGTCAGATGCATTGGCGCTTTTCAGGATCTTGGTAAGCGACGACAAGTTGATGCCAAGCGGGATATTGCGATCGCATCTGAAGCTTTCAAACTCGTCAGCACGCATAAGCAACGTGGCCAGGGCCACATGGGTAGAATCCATAGCTTGAAGCGTGATTCCAGAGGGATTGCAGTCAAAGTTTGCCTCGTTTACGAGGTCCTTAATGGCCTCAACAATCCTTTTGAAGACTTGAGAATCAGATAACTTTGCCTCCAACATGCACCTGGAAAATTGATAAAAATTGCAATATGCAAAGCTGCTCAATTCAAATTAGGGTTGTTATTTTGTAATTTTGTGCGTTGAATTTATTTTTTGACAAATAGCCGAAAAGCTCCACTTGCAATGGAAACGGCCTTTTTTATTGACAAACAGGGCGATCCCTCAAAAGCATCTTTGCATTCAAAAAAATGCTTGAGAATCGAGGAAATTTGCCGTGCTCAATCATCTACACCTGCTCTCATCCATGCTAGATCTGCATCTAACAAGCCTAAGAAGCAAAAAAATTCCAAGGACTTGGGGAAGCCCATCAAGGTTGCACCGATCAAACCCACAATTACAGATATTTGGAACTGTGTCACTAAACCTACATCTAGCTCCGATACTGTATTTAAAGCCCCACTGGTCCAAAGAACGATCCCTGAAGCCTTGCACCCTGGCGCTTCATATAATCCCTCAAAAAAACATCATAAAGAGGCATTGGCAATGGCTCTTATTAGAGAAGTTGGAAGAAAATCAAATAAGGAGCTTTTTTCACACGCCAAAAACACCCGGATTTGCTTGCCCATCACTCCAGCAGCAGATCTGCAAATGCCTTCATCTGGTGCTGGCCAGAGTGCAGACAATGAGCCTCTAATTGAGTGTCAAAATCCCACAGATAGCTCTTCACCATCCGTATCTAGACAAAGCCAGCGTATTTCACAATCAAAAAAGGCTGCACGCCGACGAGAACGAGAGTGCATCCAAAATGCAATCAGGAAGAAAGAACTTAAAAAGTTGAATTTCCAAATCGACAACATCGAAAAGCTATCTTCTCAAATCTTGCTCAAACCAAAATCTAAGCGAGAACCCAAAAAATTCGGAAAGGACGTTAAAAAGTTCGAAAAGCCGATTTTCCCAGTTTTCCTGAACTCGGAAATCCCCTCTTCATTGAGAGCTATCGAATGCTCAGCCACGGCACCATTTGTTGACCAGTTCAAGAAATTACAACAAAACCGTCTTGTTGAGGTTAGAGTGCCTTCGCTCAAAAAGCGAAAGTATTCGTTGCGAAAATACGAAAAAAGGTCGTATAAAAACTTTGAACAGGCCGCTGCTGTTAAATCACTGGCTGTTGGCAGCCAACCCTAACCCTTTAAATTAAAATTTTCATCGCAAACTTATTTCTGCAAGACTTTATGCTTGCTTATGGCAATTATGATTTGATTCTTGTTATTGACCAGAGGGAAGCGTGCTTACAGAGAGGCGCATTGCTTACGCTGCAAACCACTCTAGCTGCCCATAATATTGCATATTCAATGCGAACGCTTCCCATTGGAGATTTTTTGTGGCTATGTAGGGAGAAAGGTGAACATGTGGGATTAATAGTTAGCGGTAGAAAATCCAGTTGAAATTGTACTTGACTATTTGGTTGAGAGAAAGCGAGAAAACGATTTATACTCCAGTATTATTGATGGGCGATACGACGAGCAAAAGGTTTTTCAGTTGGCACCAATTTTATTTAGGCAAGAATTCACAATTCTGGGATAGGCAAAGTCATATATGTGATTGAAAATCTCTCGCTTTCGTTGAAGGCAACACCATCTGCCCGTATCCATACCCAAAAATCGCTTTATTCGATTTTGTCAAGCACAATGATCCATGACAAGTTCCTGATCCAAAGGACCTCTTCCTTTGAGGAGACCGTCTTGTTTTTGATTGCAATGACTCGGTGGATTAAAGGATCTCTGCATCAAAAGTCAATCAAAATCAAGCCAGAACCATCCGCTTTTCCAGAATTGTCAGGAAATCCCGGGGGATTGCCTGTTTCTGTGCACTCTGGAAATGTAGTCGAAGGTGTTTCGCTGTTCCAGATCTTTTCCAAAAAACATGGAAGGAGAAGCGGCCTGACCCTGGGGGATATCTATTGCTCCCAGTTGTGTTGTATCCATTCCATTTCGCCAGAAAAGGCAAAGGCAATAGCCAGGAAATATCCCACCCTTCAAAGGTACGATCGATTCTAACCAAAGTCTATGGCTTGCGTTTGATGAGGCAAGGTGTGTGTGTGAAGCAGAGGCAGAATTTCTTTTGGCCAATGTGAGCCTTCCCAATGGACGCCGACTGGGCGAAAAGAGCTCCAGTCTTGTGTATTCTTCGGTGTACAGATCTTGATTTATTATTAAACTCCACTTTTAAAGGAAGAGTCCACACCACCAATGCAAGCAGATGTTGTCCACAGTAGGCATATCACGATAGAGGGTTCAGATAGGTATATACAAAGCGTACATATTTATCTTCGTTATCATTACTTATATGGACTAGATAGTTCGGAATATAAATAAGTTATTCGCTGCCGCAGAGGCAATAGAGTTTCCCTTTGGGTTCCATACACTAGTGACCACCTTTTTGGAAAAAGAAAATGCCTTCTCTGGCGGAGAAGCAGCTTGAGCCGCTTTTTTCTGCTCAAAAATGCTTTTATCCGAAAAAATCGAAGACACCAAATTGCCCTCCAAGTCAAAAATGAAGTTCATGTTGTTGTAGGCACCGGTATGAATATATCTGGGGCAGGGTTAATGCGAGAAAACAAGGAAAACACAATAAATGGAAAATATGCAAAAGCAGCATCAAATGTACACAAACCTGGATGTGCCATCAAAGCCGCACTCAAACTTGTCCTCAAAGATGGCCTCAGTTGCATACCAGTCCAGGAGTTTGTTCTGCACCTGTTTTCGAGTTGAGACATCTGGTGGTATCGGAATGTCAACCACCGGCCTGTTTAGCTTGTGTGTGTCCCAAAGTTGAAGGGAATGGAAGTCTCTGGCAAGCACATATCTTCCACAAGGAGAAAATTTGGCGTCTGAAATGGTAGAAAAAAGGTCCCCGAAAAGAATTGGCTGATTTCGGTCCACATTCAATGGGTCATGTCGGTCCTCGTCATGTTTCCACTTGTTTAACGTCACTAAAGTAAACGTTGGGTAAAATAACCTCCAGAACTCTCACACAGAGAGGACACCCTTGTGTCGCAAATTCGGATAATACCCCGAGAGGTTGCATATAGAAATTGATATGTATATTGTGGATGAAATATGGCCGTTGTGATCACCTGCTGGATATCGTCCATCGGTTGTGGTCTCAAATCAACCATGGAAATAAATGCTTTTGGATTTTCCAACTGCCAAAGAGTGATCTTCAGGTCATCTGCGGACAGAAATGTGAGACCATCAATGTTTGGAGATATCGAGTTGATATGGAACAAGTGCGACCCTTTATAAGAGTTTTGATGAACGGGAACAAATCTGTCTGCCGCAGTACATGAAGAAGAAGAAGAGGCAGTCGACCGCGCAGAGCGTCTGTTGGAAATTTTCCAGAGCTTTATTATTGTGTCTACAATAAACCACAACACAAAAAGGTACCATTTGTCGTCAGCAGAAATAAATCCCTACTCGTTGACTGCTTGCACCATTTAATCCGATTAATCTGTTCGTCGATTTCGACACTTCTCAAATAATCAAATTCTGGCTCATGGGATTGGAACTCTGCAAAAAACGCATACCCTGTGGGGGTGTCCTTGAAAATTACAGCACGACCTCCGCGATCACCGGTAGCCAAATATGCCCCGGTCTCGTCAAACTCAAGGGCAGAAATAATGTCAGCTAAAGGGTAATTGTGATCCAAATTAAACCATTGACGATGGACTCGGATCTTTCGCCAAAGCATTGCGAAAATTTCCATGAAAGAGAAGATGCACCTTCATTATTTGTCGATGTTGAAGAGCAAGAAAATAGCCCATTGTCTTTTCCGGAATGGGCCGCTGGCTTCCTTTGCATAAAAATCATCAGGTCGTGTTGTCCTCTGTTTTATCTGCTCTATCTGGTTGCCAAGTTGTAAATTTAAATATAAAGTTGTAAAATTTAAGTCGACTGTAATTTTAATTAACCTTAATTGGTCATGCCATGGAATTGGTTCAGCAATTCCTATCGCTCCTGCAACATTGGTCCAGCAGAGGACCACTCACACGTCGCCCAAAATTATAGGATCATTAAGCTAATTTTGTGATCAAAAGCATCCAAACTAGCAATGACGACCCAAGAACGCAATATGCTGCTGCTCAAGCCCATGTTATTCAACAGCTGGTCGCCAACGCCATCTTCGTCCCCTCCGTTTTCGATAAAGCGGTTAGCGCCATTGGCCGTTCGAATGGATTCCCCTGAAGAGGCTGTAGATGCACTTTTATTTCTTTCCGGGATTACACACTCTTCAAAAGAAATACCAAGCAACAATCCCATGGTTGATTCATTGCTTTCCCAAATTATAACGAACCAAAATGCGGCGTACAAAGAAAGCAAGAAACAATGCAGGGTGCATATATGCCGGGCAAAGGGTTGCGACAAAATCTTCCCCTCCATCTCTAGACTTGCACGGCATGAAAAGATACACCTGAACAAATCCAGACGATAGCGAGAATAAAATTTTATTTACAGTGAGCCGATCAGTTGAAACGTGGAAACGTTTAATGGCGGTCCAAATTCGAAGACCATGGTGAGGTGGAGGCCAGTTGTACCACAATTTATTGGCAAGTTTCACTTTCCATAAAAAGCTTCCAAATTTGAATTTAAAAGCGTGATACCAAAGTCATCGTAATTGCACTCGCAAAATGAATCGCATCGATAAGTGAAATCAAAGGTCGATCATCAAATTTGGATTTTTATTTTACCAACATGACATCGGTGGCATCTAACGTTCCGACGACGGCTTCGCCTACTTCTTATCCAAGCTGGAAGATTCTCGAAACCTTAAGTAAGGGCAAACTTTTTATGCCTCAACTCTTCCATGAGGATCCCTCACGTTCTAGCAAATATGCGGTTTCTCTCCAGCTACCAGGGGCCAATGAGTTGTATGTGGATTACTCCAAAAACATGATCACAGATGAAATCAAGTCTGCACTTATCTCTCTATTAAAGGAAGCCAAGATTGAGTCTGCCCGTGACGCCATGTTTGCCGGTGCACCTATAAATTCCACTGAGGGCCGTTCCGTCCTTCATGTGGCGTTAAGAGCACTCTCAAGAGAGTCACCCTCCTTTTTCGCCGAGGTCAGCGGATCCAAAGTTGATCTTGGACCAATGATCTCTGCAGAGCTAAAAAAAATGAAGGCCATTTCTGATGCTGTTAATGCAGGTACATGGTTGGGACATACTGGACGGCCAATCACCTCCATTGTTAATATCGGAATTGGAGGATCTGATCTTGGGCCAAAAATGGTAAGCGGCGCTTTGGCTCACTTGATCAACCCAAAACTCAGTATCTACTATGTCTCAAATGTTGATGGAGCTGACATGGAAGCAGCGTTAGCAAAGTGCGATCCGGAAACCACGCTTTTCATTATTGTTTCAAAGACTTTTACCACGGCCGAAACGATGCTAAATGCGCAGACCGCTCGCTCCTGGTTCCTTTCATCGTGCAACGGAAACCAAAGTGCAATTGGACACCATTTTGTGGCAGTATCGACAAACGAACCAGCTGTAAAAGCATTCGGCATCCAAGTGGACGACTTGCACATCTTTAAATTTTGGGATTGGGTTGGTGGCCGTTACTCTCTTTGGTCCGCAGTTGGCTTGTCAATTTCAATTGCCATAGGCTATCAAAATTTTGAGCGTCTATTGGCCGGTGCCCGAGCTATGGACAAGCACTTTTTAGAGGCTCCATTGGAAGAAAACATTCCAATCCTTATGGCGGCTCTTGGAATCTGGTACAACAACTTTATGAATCTGAATTCGCTTGCCATTTTGCCTTATGAGCAAAACTTGGGCCTGTTCCCAAAATACCTCCAGCAAGCAGACATGGAGTCCAATGGAAAAAGCGCTTGCAAAATGGTGTCCACAGGAGAAGATGTGTATGTAAATTGGAAGACCGGGCCTGTCGTGTGGGGTGAGCCCGGAACCAATGGCCAGCATGCCTTTTATCAACTCTTGCATCAGGGCACAAATATTATCTCTTGTGATCTGATTGGTGGAATCTTTGCGCCTCGTCATCCTTCTGTTCATTTGGAATCCCATGACCGCCACCGCCAGGTTTTGGTTGCTAACATGCTGGCCCAAGCCGAGGCGATGATGATGGGAAACTGCTATGATGCTGAGAATAACTTTTCACCCGTGTCTTTGCCGTCTTCGCAGAATCCTCATAAGGCTTTCAAGGGAAACCGTCCAACCACCGTCTTCCTTTATGACGAACTAACCCCCGAGGTGCTTGGCTGTCTGATTGCAGCCTATGAGCACAAGATTTTTGTCCAGGGCCATGTATGGAATATCAATTCTTATGATCAAATGGGTGTTGAATTAGGAAAGACCCTTGCCACCGCCATTGATGCCGAATTAGTAAAAGGCACGGTCGGCCCACATGCTGATTCCTCCACTTGCGCTTTGATGGCTCATGTTTTAAAGAGAAGAGCTCAAAGTAACTGAAACCGCTTATTAAGGAATAAAAATTTCAGGGCTAAATTTGGAACACAGTTCTCCTTTGATGCCAACTTCAGAAGCCTTAAAGCGTCATATTGGCTTTGAACGAACTTGCCAGGGAATTAATGCCAGCAATAGTAAAATTTGATATGATGGACAGTGTGGCGTTATTAAGCAGCAAATATCTTATTTGAACATGCGTATAATCAGGTGGGAAAGAACATGAAGGGCCCGTCGCCAAAGATCTAGTTGACACCAATGTAACAGGTGAAGAGTTTGAGCAGAGGTTGGCAACCCATTCTTGGGCCATTTCAATTTTTGAACATAGCGAGAGCGAGGGTTTGATTCCTTTTTGGGAGATGCTGCAATGGCATGATGCAGAAGGCAGTAGGACACAAGTGGAACAAACTTGAGCAAGGAAGGTAAATAAACCAAAAAGTGATAGGGATCCAAATGGTGGGTATGCACTTTGAGAATGGAAAAGGATTTTACGAGAAAATTTGAAATCTCATCAAAACAAAGCAAAACCCATCTTTTCGTGACTAAATTTGGCTTGCAAGCTTTGGTGCATAAATTATGCAGCTCAGATGGCAAAGTAAAATATGCGTACAAAGCGATAAACACAAAAGAAAGGGAGAAGATTTCCGGCTTTCGACCTTGCAATACAAAGGAGTCGGTGTATATCAGATCCAAAAGAGACTTTATCATCGG